GAAATTTAATTTATCAACAGAACTTGTATTTAGCCTTATTTTTGTTTGTAGAAGCTACAGCTGAAGGCCAAGAGTTCTGACATCCCTTTGCATTCTTTTTTTAACTTCAGTATTTCTCACTATTTTCCTAAATGTCTCTCTTTCCCCATCTGTGATACATCTGAATGCAAAGATTTTCTACTTTGGAGGTCAGCAGATCCAGTCCCGGGATCACATCCTGGCAGGTTGGAATCTCTCCAAAGAAGGTTCCTCAGCCTCTCTGGGCAATTTGTGCCAGTGCTGTGTTGCTGTGTCACTGAACAGTAAATAAGTTTTTCTTCATGCTCAGCTTAAACTTGTTCCTGTTTGTGCCCATTGCCTCTTGCTCTGTCACTGGGCAACTCTCAGGGTAAGGAGGACTGGTGAGCAGGACCTCTCAGATAGAGTAGCAGGCAGATTCCATCCTCAAAAACAAAAAGGTGGGAAATGAAAATTATCTGGAACATTTTCTATTTTCTGTGATCTAGTTAAAAGTCTGTTAGGCCGTTCACGTATTCTAGAACACCTTTTGCCAGGACAGGAGCCTTTCTTTCTTTCAAGAGACTTTGAGCAAAAACAAAAAAGTTATATTTACAGAGCTGTGGGATAGATCACGGTGAAGCTATGAATAAAAGAAGGGAAAGATTCACATTGGATGTGTAAACAAATCTGCTGGTTTAAAATACAACCACTACATTCTGCAAGTTATTTCATCATCATAATGGTTCTCAGCATGAGGAGTACTAAAATGCTCTTAATGCAAAATCTCTTTCCTGTGTTGCACTGTGGTCCTCATCAACTTAGCAAATAAAATTTGTCAACGGTGTGGGCGTCTGTGTACTATGGCTTCTAACATTTGTCAAAAACATCACGTGTAGACCTTCTTTGTATTGATTCCAAGTGATCTTGCACACTGGTCAAAAAGACAAAGTTCAGAACCACTTCTAAAGTTTGTTTTGGAGTTAGCAGTTCAAAGAGTGTTCAAAGGTCATTGTTTCCCTTGTTAGTTCTTTTTTTTTTTTTTTTTTTAACTGAAAACTTCCCAAATGCTTTCTACAGCTGTGGGTAGTTCTTAGTAAGTTTAGAACACCTTAAGGTACAGCTTGAACAACATTTCTTCAGTAAGAAATGTGGTTATATAAATATGTAAGAATCCTCTAAATGATAAAAAGCCCTACTGTTAATCTATATGAAATATTATTATTTAATAGGTGGAAGAGAAACAAGTAAGATTGTTTTTAAAGTGTGTGTCAATAAAGTGGATTGTAATAGGACAGAAAGGATACTAAAAATAAAGCAACTTAATTTGATGGGTCTGCAGATCTATCTCCTAATACAGTGATTACACAAGAGTTCCTGAAGCTGATTCCCACTGCCATTGGTATATAGGGTATCCCTGCACCGTAAAGGTGACACCTCTTCTAACTGCTCATAAATGTTAGTTGCTTGGATGGTGCTGCCTGAAATTAGAGCTGGTGACCTTTCACCAAATGCCATAGTTCAGCATCTGAACAGGGCCAGAGGTAGTGCAGGAGCTGAAGATGGATGCCCTGCCAAAGCAAGCCCTTCTGCACAGCTCTCATACACCAGAATAGCCCTGCAAAGGAACTGTGAATGAGCTGATGGAGGAGTTCTCCCTGAAAGTGGCTGCATGGGAGCTCTTCCTATTATGGGTACATATATTACAGATAGAAAGAAAGAAACAACTCACAACAAAGCACTCACTACAAAATGTCAACCCACAGGGAAAAAAAAAAGCAAAAACACAAAACACTGGAAAATGTCTTGGTAAACACAGGCAGTATTGCTTTTCTTTCTATAACCTTTCCCTGTTGCCAGTATGTTGTCTTAAAAATAGATGTATGCAGCCCAAGGATTCTTGAAGGGGCTGAGGGTGGAATACAGCTGAGGAGTTACTATCGATGTTTGAAATGGCTTGCTGTTGGATGCTGTCTATCTTAAAAGTTGGGCAATGGGCTGGTGAGATACTGTAGTCCAGACTGATCTGTGGAAAGGGGGGAAAAAAAAAACAACCAAAAACTGTAAGGGCTCCCAGCTCTCTTGTTATTAGAGTCCAATTAATGAAATTAATGAAAGTATCCAGTTATGGCTCTGAGAACAAATTGAATTAAAACCTTAAGGGTCTAAATAAATTGTGCAGTGTAGAAACAGTCACATGCTTTGCTCTAGGAGCAGCATCCAAAACATCAGTGGAGTCCTTCCTAGCACCATGCCTGCTATGGCTGATTTGGTGAGCAAGAGGCCTTTTAGAGCTAATGAGCTAATGCTAGAGCCAGTAAACATGGAAAAGCAGGAGGAAGAGCCAAGCAGTTCCCCAGAAGTGCTTCAGGATGGAAGTGACATCTCCACCCACACCCAGCACTTCCATGCAACCAAAATGGAGACTCCCTCTTCCTTTCAAAAACACAAAGAAAAAACAGATGCAAAAACTGTATTTTATCTCTTTTACAAAAGTGAGAGCGTGGCTACACCCCAGTGTCTGGTGTCCAACCTGAGTAGGCAGAGGGAGCAGCACTGGCCCTAGCATGAGCAAGACAGCCTGTGGTGAAAAGGCTGGGATACAAGAGTGACTACGCAGGCAGTAGTCCAGCTGTCCCATTTGCCTGGTCACATGGGCCTGAGTCCTCTCCCACCTGACTGCTTCCTTGTTTTCCAAACTGCAGCATGGCCTGTGGAGAGCTAGGTGCTGCTCAGGACCAGGCACATGTCTTCACAACATTGATAGCTAGAGCACAGGCAGAGTGAGAGCTAAGAGGGGATGGTCAGGACAGTCCAGACCCTATAAGGCATTTGCAGTCCTGGACAGCTGGACAATCCATCTAGCTCCCAAGCACTAATGTTGTGTTCCCAGCAGCATGCTCTGAATCAGCACATTAAATGCAGGCATGCTTTATGGGAATCCTCACAATTTAATTCTGCTTCCACAGCACAATTCTTTCCTTCTGTGGTAATGAATGTTCTCAAAATAACGCAAAGAACACCAGGTGAGGGTTGCTAGTAGAAGAGATGTTCTATTTCAACCAGATTAATTTCTGGCAATGTGGTGATGATGGCCATGGAGCAGAATGGTACCAAGCTGCACATGCTGTTTCTGAAATTCAAAATCCTCCCCCAAGATATCTCATTTTCCATTTCCCATCCTTATATACCTAGATCTGATGGAATACAAGCTGGCTGTATTAACAGGATGTATCAGAGTTATCATATATTAATGCGCATATTTCACAAATGTTAACTCTTGGTTAGGATAAGTCCACACTGAAGTACATTGAATAACTTGTAAGGCCTAGAAACAATGTGAGAAATCATCCATATTATCCTTTATATTTTCATCAAAGAACTATGGACTGGTCAAAGAAGGGCTACTCAGTGTAAGAGGCCGTAAGATCTTTAGAAGAGGACAGAATAAGATATTCTGGAAACCATATTGTTTGTTTGAGAAAGTTAGGTATCAGCGAACATAGCACAATCTTTTCTTGTATCAGTGATTCTATGTAATTAAAAAAGATAAATAAAAAACCCAAACATTTTCCCCTTGTTTTCTTTCAATGCTTCCTTTAATACAACCTTTTAATGCCTTTTGTTTTACAGTACAACCGCATTTTAAAAAAAAGCTTATGAAAATGTGGCTTATCCCCTTTCTTATTACAAAGGTCTAACAGACTTGCAATATGTTCTTTGGTTTAGCTTTAATGCGTTCCTTCCCATCTGCATAGTGACTGCAGCAGGCCTTCTTCAATTAGCTGCATGTTTTTTGACAATTTCCAGGTACTCCTTCACATCATCGGGAGATCCCAAGACAACAGGCACTCTTTGGTGGATATCCTCAGGCACTATATCTAGTATTGACTGATGCCCTGTTGTTGCTATTCCCCCCGCTTTCTCAATAACAAAAGCCATAGGATTGCATTCATAGAGCAGTCTCAGCTGTAAGACAAAAAATCAAAATGACAGTGGTCAATTCAGGCAATGCTCACAATCACATAACTATCTGGCAATTGATTTAAAGCCAGTCAACACTTGTAGTACTCCATAGTTAATATAAACTTGACTCCAGAATTGTGTGGATTTTTACTGTAAACAAAGCAGAAAGAATGCTGGATTTGCTCAGTTTGAGTGCTTTCTCCACAGTTCATGTTTGCACTGTGGTCTTTACAGAGAGATAAAGCACATATGTAAAGCACAGCCTTTAACAAGGCAGCAGATCATATAGTAAGAAAAACAGTGACCCTGAGTATGCCACTAGGTTTCCCTAATGAGTAACTGCATCTTATCTGCAACCTGAAGCAATAATTTATGGACAGTTACAAAACAGATGAAAGGTCTTTGCTGAATAAATAGTCACCCGGTCAGCCCCTAAGAGCGTGCTTTTCCACAGGGGACTGTCTGTTGCCCTGCAGAAGCAGCCAAGCATGGTTCCTCCAGATGAGGCAGCACCACTAAGAAAAAAATATAGAGGTTTTCCTGTTCAGCAGAGCTTCTATAAAGGAGCACATTACATTTAAGCTTCTGATACCTTGGATTGTAATAGGAATTTCAGCTGGAATTAGTGTGAGCCCTTTATTTAGTTTCATAATTTTTCCACTTAACTGGGGATACCAGTGTTTGGGCAGAGATGGTATGGAGAAGACTGCTTAAACAAACATTCCCTAGCGTGTTCCTGCTAATGATCCATACTCATGTGAATATAAAGAAAAATCAGTTGAAACAGGCTAGAAGCAGCCCTAAATTGGAGTCTGACAATAGGTTGCTGTTTCCTGTGATAGAGTGCAGTGCATATCAGAGATACAAGCTTCCAAGTTGTAAGAATTACATTCTGGAATCAAAATACTGATCTGTGACAGTGAAATGTCTATGTAATGCAACTTCTTCTGTAATCGTACTTTTGCAGATTTACCTTCCCTTTAGGACTTTTGGAGTTAGCAGGATACAAAAAGATTCCTCCATACACCAGTGTGCGATGTACATCAGCCACCATAGATCCTATGTACCTCCCACCATATGGTGAACTGCCATCCTATAGAAAGACATTCAAATAGACATAACTTTTGAGCACATCAGGTTAGTCTTTTTTTTTTTTTATCTTAGTGATTGTAACATCTAACTCCTTCATATTGCAATTCATAGTATTCCAAGTAGTTTAGGTTAAAAAACTCAGTTTCTTCTTCATTTTCTAACTGGGAAAGTCCAAGAAAAAGAACAGATGGAAGATCTCAGAATGGATGAGTGGTTGTGCCAACAGCAGACAATGCTATCCAGTGCTCTAACCCTTGGAAAACACTCCATTTTTAGTAGCAAAAAGATCAAGTGGTGGAAAATGGTGTTGGGTTTTTATTCTATTGTAATGAGGAAAAAGAAGTAATTGTTAGTAATACTTTTTACCCTTTTGCTTCAGTTTTCAGAGCTCTTTTGTCAACAAAAAGTTAACATTTGACTACTAAAATTTGTTCCTCAATATACTTAGTGTCTGACAGTATCATTTTAATATCTTGATAAAAAGCACCTTAAACCTAGAAGTCACCAGAAGAAATTACCAGTCTTTGTTCAGGAAGTTGAGTGTGGAGATGAACATTAAAATACTACATGTTGACATGGTTATTCACACAATAATTGCAGTGAGGACAGAAGGAAGGTGTAAGAATGGACATGTTTCTGTGGGTATTCCTCAGAGCTTCAGGCCTTCCGATACCAGGAAGCTGCATGACCACAAAGCAGACTTGAAAGAACATGAACTTTTCACGTGAGAGGCCCCTGGGGACACAGCCCATGTTATTACTGAGCACAAGGCCAACATCCTTCCACATCTAATCAGATGCGGCAGTGGGGCAGCTGCAACCTAAAATGCCTGTAGAAAATGTTTCTTCATCACCATATGACACTTACTCTCTACCACTGAATGCCCAGTTTTAACTCAGGCCCCTGATTAAGATAGAAAATCAGAAAATAAAGAAGAAAAGGAAGAAAAAGCAGAGGTGGAATACTGAAGATCAGCTGCTCTAACTGGCAGTCCTACACACATGGATACATTTTAAATAGATTTAAAAAGAAGAAAACAAACAAGATCTGGAATGTCATATGTGAGGCAGTAACTGATGTTAAAGCAGGAATTGCTAAGTGTAACTTGTGATCAGAAAGATTCTCTGAAACTGCACTTTTTACCTCAGGAAATTTCTTCTTCCTGAGATACTCAGTGACTGCAGAATCAAAGTATTTGGCATAGCCTTCATTGAGACTGTAGATATTCCCCTTCTTCTTGATTTTCACATCCCTATCAACCAAAATGAATTCTCCAATTGCCTAAAAATAAGAAAGAAACATAACATGTCAATGTTGTTTTCTCATTTATTTACAAAGTGAAAGCCAATCATATACACAGCTTAGGAAGTAATCACTAGAGCTGCTACCTACTTTAATGATTCAATATCTGTGAAGAAGGCGGTATTTGCTATTTAGATGCAGTTTAGAGCAGGAATCCTGGGGTCATGCAAGCTTCTTTATACTACCATTTCCAGCTCTGTCTTAGTTTTTTATATAAAACAAAAATAATGCTGTTGCCTGTAAATTCATTTAGCTCTCCATATTTTTGTTAAACTCATAACAAAGGAATGACTATGAAGAGTTCAGAAACTGAAAGTGCCAGGTGAAGCAATGTGCAAATGTTTCCAAATAGATTCTAATGCACTCTAGTTTGTCCTAGCTTGGGCTAACTAGAAGACTGAAGCCAGGAGATCTCTGTAGCCAAGGGCTGGGCTATTTAATTTTCAATGATGTAAATGTCTATGTTAGTTAAAGCAAACAAAATAACATTCATACATGCTAAAAGCTGTCTCCTATCTGAATATAAACAAAAACACATGCAGCTAATTAAGCTCTTATTTTACAAGGAGCACCATATTGTATTTCCTGCTTCTTGACAGCTGCAGGTTCTAAACCTTAATGCAGGCAAGTGCTACATTCTGGTTAACTGATAACACAAATATGGGTTATTATAGCAAACAACTTTCTGCTGTGGTCAGTATGCCTTTGATTTTAAAACTTATACATCGATGTGTTCTACAATGTCTAACACATTCACACACATCACTTACTCTTTCACTCATCACGGTGAGATCTGAAAATATAGAATAAAGTTAAGAATATCTGCTTCAACAGTTTACTAAGGCCCTAGCATTAAGAAAAAAAAGGCATAAAAAATATTCAGCTGCATTCTGCATTGCATAAAATACCTTGCTTTAAATGCCACATTATTTGACACACACTGTATATCTGCTTCCCTAATTTGACTGTCTTTCTATTGCTGAATCACTGACTGCAGCAGGCAGAATGCAAAAATCTCTTGATCTTAGTTTTGACAGGTTACAGAATGTACTTCATTTTTCCACATCAGCTTTAATTTGAAAATTGCTCCCTTGACCTTTTTGATGAACAAATGAGTCTTACAGACTGTACTTTGTCATCCCTAACAAACAAAAAAGCAGAAGACATTCTCACCGGATCAAGCATAAAACAGTTGACACCTCCAGTGGAAGTAGCCAGTACCAGCATTGTGGCACTCCCATAGAGAGCATAACCCGCTGCCACAAGATTACGCCCAGGTTGTAAAGCATCTTTCCCAGTAGGTTCATCAGGGGATACCTAGATTAAGGAGCACAAAAAATTACTTCATTTTTTAACTCTGGTATATAATATAACTGAACTCTGAGATAGGAATAATCTTCTACTACATATCCAAGCACAAATGCTTTCATGGCTTACAACTAGGATTCCTAGTAGATGTGTTTTATTATTGTATGCATTATGTATAATGAACAAATTATATGGAAGAGACAAACACATTCATCTAGAAATGCTCTTATATAAGCCTTGTTGGAATGCAGGAAACAGGAAAGGATTAAGATGATAATATAGAGCTGCGCACCTCCTTGTAGGTGGTGATGAACACAACTCAAAGCAAAGGTCCAAGGCATAGTTGAAAAGCAAGCAATGAAAAATGACTCACGGAGTTTACAGCTGAGCAAAATGCCTAGGGTAGTTTTATTTTCCTTTGCTTCATCAAAAAACGAATTGGAAAATAGTTACTTTGAGGGATGTGAGAACATACAAAAGATGATTAAAACAGACAGTTGGGTGTGTTTTTATCTGACTTACTGTTTCCCCCATCTTGTGACATGTAAATCCAGTATTTCAGGCTTTTCAGACAAGGTTTCTGCCTTTCAGAGTGAATTAGACACATGCTATATTTCAGCTCTGGTTTATATTTGAAGCCTGTCCTAAGGCTAACGTAACTATTAGTACAGAGAAAAAGAAAACCTGAAAGTGCATTTCCCATGTAGATAACAATCACATGGTATTTTGTCTCAAGAAAATTATTTATGAATCTAATACTAGCTATGTTTGTAAGGGGTGACTCCTCTAGCTGACTAATTAAGTATCAGCAAGTCTTCCATATTCTTCTAATGTTCATCTCCTAATATAGTGATGCAAATCTTTTATACAAGCATCTGAAACAGCAGATTTAACTTACAGTCAGTCGTGGAAAGTCTCTCTCACAAATAAGTAGTTAGATTTTATTAAATTTTCATATGCAATTCTATTTCATTCAACGTGCACAATAATATTGTTTCCCATTCTATAGGAAAGCATTTTACCTTTCTATAGATGCCAAAGATGGTCCCAATGGAAACAAGACAGTCAATGTTAGATGATCCATCCAGAGGATCTATGCAAACTATGTATTTACCCTAAAAATATAAAATGTGTGACATAAATAGTAACATTATTTGCTTACCTCCTACAAATAAAAGTATTCAGTAGGTTAACATTCTCAGACATTTCCAAATCAATATAAATTAAAATGCTCTTGTAGATTACGAAGGAACAAAATTCTATAATTGAAAGAAATGTGACCTGCATTTCATTCTTGATTGCAATTGTGATTTGTTGCCACAGTGGAATCTGGGGAGTCCTTAAAGTAAGTAACAAATGATGAAACACCAAAGCTATTGGGTTTTTTTATTTTTATTATTATTTTTTTATTTAAATAGTTAAATAATTACTTTAGTTTCATATATCAAGTTAATGCTGATCCATTTTCATAGACATCCTCTAACATCTATTATTTAGCCTACATTTTCTCACCCCTAATGAGACTGCATGCTGAATTTTAAGCAAAAGGACAAGTTTATCTTTTTATTATTATTAAGAGCTAAAACTAGAGGGATTAAATGACACCTGACGTTTACTGCATGTTCTACTTTAGCAGCTTAACAAAGCCCTCTGCTCAGAAATGGACAGGCACTCAGAAATTATTGCAGCCAGTTCCTGGTTTTGCCCTGTGGGCTGGATGCTCGTCCCCCCAGAAGGGAGTGGTTTCTGCCTATGGCTTTATTAAGGATACTTGCAGACAAAGGAAACTGCCAGTACAGGGAAAACAGCTGTGCTTTTTATGTAGCTCATTTTTCCCTTATCCTGTCCACAATCACTAATAATCATGCATACTGTTTTTGCATGTCTGCTTTTCATTCAATTCAATCCTGTAAACCGGAAACCTTTTTAAACCCAGAAATGCTATACTCTGCTATCATATGGGTAGGAATTCTGAGAAAAGTGCCACATTACCTCACATTTTGTTTAAAAAGAGGCATTAGCATCGAGCCTCCCTCAGTGATCTGTGAGGATCTGTAATCACATTCATTCAGATCTAAAGCAAACTTAAAATTTATCCAACGCAAACACAATACATTTTGAGGGATTTTCAGCAAAGAAAGAGACAACTGCTTTGTTGTATAACAAATGTTATACTTCCTAGATTATGTTTGCTGTTTGTTTTCTCTATATTTTTTGCTAAGATTTTTTTAAATGCCAGAATATTAGTCAGCAAAAAGGAACTACAAGCATTCAAGAAGTATATGCAGGCCAGGACATATAATTAAGATCAAAAAGTCAGAATGATTTTTTGTGTCATTGTAAAATCTTATTTTCAGGGCTTCTGGGAGAATTTGCCTAAACTGGAGAACAGAAGATCTGATCTGCAACAAATAGGTACCCGGTGCTTTACTGATACAGCTCCTTTACAAAAGTGCTGGATGGACTCAGAGTGCAGCTCCAGAAATCAGGAGAAAGAAACATGAAAAACACTTCCTCTGTAATTAGGAAAAAGTAGGTAAGAAAGAAAGTGGAGAGAAACAAATTTAAAAATCCGGTCTTGGGAACAGAAATAGCAGACAGGACAAACACAGGGATAGGAGAACACACGCATCTACAAAACAACCTAACTGAAAATGGTTTGTGTGTACCTATATGGAAAAGGACATGGTCTCTGAAATTTTTGGCTCAGTTTCATTTTCCAATATTTGAAAAGATACCATTATAAAGATTGATCCAAAATCAAGTACTGAGAATTTTTAACACTACCAACCCTTCTGTCAGCTTCCACTATTACAGCATCCTTGTTTTCTTCTGACACAATAACGCATGTGCTGAAAGATGACTTGAGCATGTTAATCACCAAATCGTTGGAAAGGATGTCCAGCTTCTTCACCTGATCTCCTGTCACATTGGTAGAACCAGCAATCCCATACCTAAGTAAGGCAAGGAGAGAGCGACTGGTCAGAGGAGGGCACTGCAGCTTCCAAAGCAGCCCACTTCTGACAAGTCTGTGCTTGAACAACATCGTGCAGAGGAAACAGTACTAAGGGGTGATCTCTCAGGTTTCTGCACCTGTTTTTTATTTGCTGTCCAATGGATCCTTGCTGATACCTGCGAGCATTACCTGTGTCATGAAAAATCTAGAACTGAAGGTGAGGTACACAAAATAAGGAATCATTTTTAGTATTTAGTATTTAATATTTAGTATTAATAGTCCCTGAATTATAGACACATACAGCTACAGCAGGCTGTGAAGGCTGAATTACAAATCTGGGTTACTTTATATAAACTATAAGACGCAAATGTTGTCCCTTCATCCTACCTCCAGTCACAGCTGTTTACTATAAAAGCTAAGATTTTGCTAGAAACTATATACTTAAGAAGTGAATGTGACCATGTGAGTTACATTGTAACTTCTCAGCATAATTTACTCTTGATAAGCTGTTCCATGTACAAATTCCAGAACAAACACTTTGCTCACACATAAATCAACAATTTTATGGTTCAGTGTTTTCAGCTTTTCACTTCAAGCTATAAACATGTCTTCGACAATAAAACTGAGAAACACAAGCACAAAACACAAATAAAGCCTTGCCAGCTAATCAGAACTACTCTGTCTGGCATCAGGAAGTACCAGGAGACCTTGTGATAGGCGATGTTGAAAGTGTCCGGAAGAGAGACCAGGAAGTTCAGTTCTCAGCAGAGAAAAACAAAGATCCAGCTCTGCACACATTGAGATTTCTGCAACGTACTTCAGTCAAGATATACTGATCAATCCAAATACTGGTATTTCAGGTCTTTTGCAATAATGCTGAACTTAGGAAAGCAGCAGTGTGCTGTGTGCAGGAGACCTGCCATGACTCCCTATGTGTCTGTTTGCCTCTGTTTCTACTATGGCACCTTGAACATTTTTTCTGCAAGTGCAAAAGCGTTTCTAGAGAGTGTTGTACCTCCAACTCTAACTTTGGAGAGGAAGGTAGGGAGTATGCTCCACATGTGCCCAGCAGCTACAGATCCCACACCCAAAGTGCTGGGGCTGAGAGGGGATATGCCCAGCATGCAGCCTGTGGGACATGCAGTGCGCAGACATGGAGCCTGCGGTAGCTCAGCACAGCAGCAAAGGGAGACATGAGGAATGGTACATTAGCCATAGCAAACAAGGGTGGAGGTGGGAATCCCTGTCCTCAATGGTCAGAAGAGCAGGCGCTGGAAGGAGCTAGAATGTAACAGTGAGAAAGTGATCGGAATTATGTAAAAGTAGAAGACAGAGCAAACTACTTCAAAAATGCGTCAAGTGGAATATCCTTGTTGTCTCCTGGAGTTGCTTTTATTTTGTTAACTTCACTAAACTTTTCAACTCTCTAATAGTAGTATACACTTTGTAATAAATACTACTCTGTATTGCCTTCACCCATACTATGTTTTCCACTACATAGTGCGTACATAGCATGGTACTGCTACATCTTTCATTAAGTAATGAAGCAGTTTATATCCATACTATGGTGATTTATATCACTGAGTTGTTATCTACAATAGTTTTACTTTTGTTTTAGCACCTCGTGAGGTCTGATTTCAAAACTAACACGGCTTGATGAGGCGCCACATAGCACAAAGCAGTGCACTGATATGAGCTATTAACTCCACTGAGCAATAACTCAACTGAATACACTTTGCCTTTCATCCCGCTCCTTTGGTTTTCTTGTTCAAAACACTTACACCTAGTTGATGAAGGTGTGTGTGAGGGTCCATCAGCAGCAGCGACTGCTAAGGGGACCAAAAAGCAAGTAATACAGCTCACTGCTCCTGGAAGGAGATGCTGTCCGAAATGCTGCCGCAGTCCCCAGAGGAAGGTGGGAAGAGCGGAGGGACGACAGCGCAGCCCGATGATTTATGTTCATCCCACCTCCCGCAGCGCCCAGCCGGCAGCCCCGACCCCCTGCTCGGGGCAGGAGCGTCACTCACAGGTTGGCGATGCCGGCCTTGCGCACAGCAGTGGAAATGGCCTTGACGGCGGTGCAGAGCGAGTTGAGGAGCTGCGTGAACTCCCCGGTGCCTTTCGCCCGCCGGCCCTCCTCCATCACGAAGCGGGTCATGGTGATGACATTGGTGTCAAAGGCGGAGCGGTCCGTCATGCTGCCGGCGTGGGTCAAGAGACACCGCGGTCCCGCCGCCGGCTCCGCACCTACATCCGAGGGCGGGACCGCGCCCCTCCGCCCGCTCCCCGCTCCTCCCACCCCCCGCTCCGCCCCGCAACCGACAGCGGCCGGTCCTTCTCTGGGATCGACGCGGCGCCACGGAGCGAGCCGGCGGCTGCGGGGTCGCGGCGCGGGGGGTCACGGCCCGGGCTGTTGCAGCTCAGAGGGCGTCTGCTCACCGCTCTCAGGCGTAGGGTTTGGATTTGGGGCTGTCGTGTGTGTGGCCAGGAGTTGGACACGATGATCCATGTGCGTCCCCTCCAACTCGGGGTGTAGTGTGATTCTATGAAATACTGTTGTTACAAAACCCCAGGAACCGAGACCCTCCTGAATCCCACTGCTTTTGATTCTGGTCTTCTGAACTGTGCAGTAAAGCAAAACAATACATTTCACTGCTTACTTGATCAGAAAAAATGTACACACTAAACCAAGCTTACTCAACAGTTGAGCACAATCTTTCTCTTCAATCTGAAAAATACAAATATGGATGTAAGTGGTCTACTTGTTACAACGTAGAATTCCTCTGTTGCCCATAATTTGATATTTACATTATCTGAAGAGATGAGTCCAAGAAACTGATTATTTACACTAGTTAAGATTATCCATTATTTGGAAGGGCACAGATTTGGGTGGGAAAACTGAAGTCACAGGCTCAAATCATTCCATATACTATGAAATGCAGGGTACATCTTCACATGCTTTTATGCTTTCGTCTATCCATACCTTTCCTACACCAGAGGTCTGCATAAACACCTACTACTGCCCAGTGCACACAGCTTTGGCCTAATTCAGCCATGCCCAGCATTATAGGCAGGACTGAAAGCCACAGATTTAAGTAGGTGTCATGCTCTTCAGAAGGGGATGATTCAGTACTTCATATTCTAGACTAGAATCATAAAGGTGTTTCTTGGAGATGCTGGTGGATTTTTGGAAGCCTTATAAAACATCTTATTAGCTCTTTATACCCATCTGTGACAACTACATCTGTCCAAATTGTTGAGAACAATTAATAACAAGCATACTGAAAAGCTTGGATAAGAAGGCATAAACTGTGTAGAGACGAGAGCCTGTAAACAGAAACTAGGAAAACAAGGTCCTCACCTTTATTGTGAGGACCCTAACAAGTATACCAGTAACCTGTAAGAAAAGCTATACTTTTGTATAAAATAGCCATGATCAGAGCAGTTGCAACCTAAGGTTTCACCTTCTTAACAGTTCTCAGGAAGATCTCGTCAAGTTCTGAGGGAAGCCCATGCCCTGTTGCTGGTGGTGAGGAACTGGGGCAAGAGTTTTCTCCTCCATTCCTACCATGGAAATCAAGTAGAAACAAGCAAATGGTGAACTGAGAGAGTCACTTGAAAGAGTGCTGGTTTCATAGTGTCCCATCCAGACATGCATTTCCACTGTGGAGAGGTAACTTAATTATTTTTATCAGTTATATTGTGTTTATAATTTTCTGAAGTGCAGCACTGCACAATCTACACAGAGAAGCTGTGGATGCCCCAACCCTGGAGACAGCAAGGGCAGGCTAGATGGGCTCCTGGGCAGTCTGATATGGTGGGTGGCTGCCCTGCCCATAGTGGGGGGTGGAGCTCAATGATATTTAAGATCCCTTGCAATCTAAGCCATTCAATGATTCTATGGTCTGTGAAGTCAAAACAACATATTTTCATGTCCATGGTCCAAGAGTATGCCCATATACGGGTCATTTCTGGGATTTTATTATCTGTAGAAAGTGGACTTCTCATTAAATAATTAAGATCTAGTAGTCAAGGACATTTGCGACTTGCGAGAAGGTAAAGCTTAGCTCCGTAAGCCTAATGTTCACACAACTTTTCAGACAGAGTCTGCACTATATGGTTTGTTCCCTAGTATGAGAAATGGTTATCAAACCAAGACATCTGGCTCAGTTTTTCTGCACTCTACCTAGACAATAACATGGGTATATCCTGAGGTGATTCTGATCAATTCCCAAATATGCATTTGCTAAAAGAGAACTTAGTAATTTTACCAAGTGCTGTAGCATGGGAGAAATTCTTGTCTCTTTGTCAGTATTTTCAAATATCTTAAGGTAATACCAAAAGATCACAGAATCATAGAATGGTTTGAGTTGAAGGTTTTAAGATCATCTAATTTCAACCCCTTTGCTATAGGCAGGGATACATCCCTCAAGGCCAGGATGCTCAAACTACTTTCACAGTAAAGAACTTGTTTCTAATATCCAACCTAAATCTATCCTCTTCCAGTTTAAAACCATTTACCCTCATCCTGTTGCTACCTGTCCTTAGAAAAAATCCCTCCCAGCTTTCCTGTAGGCCCCTTTCAGGTACTGGAAGGCCTCTACAAGGTCTCCTCAGAGCCTTCTCTTGTCCAGTTTGAAGACCCCCAGCTCTCTCATCCTCGTAGGTGAAATGCTCCAGCCCTCTGATCGTCTTTGTGGCCCTCCTCTGGACCTGCTCCAACGACTCCATTCCTTCTTGTGCTGGGGCTTCCAGAACTGGACACTGTACTCCAGGTGGTGTCTCATGAGAGCAGAGAGACAGAATCACCTCCCTCAATGTGCTGGTCACACTTCTCTTGATATAACCCAGGATACGGTTTACCTTCTGGACTGCA